TGAACCATTGAAAAACTAGAGGACAGGAACTGTCTCAGTCAGTTTGTGCTGCCATAACAAAACTCATAGATCACATCACCTCAACATTGATCTTCTCACAGTTCTGGAGGCTGGGATGTCCAAGATCAAGGTTCTGGCAGGGACTGGTTTCTTGTGAGAAGCTGTTTTCCAGAACTTGCAGATGGTTACTTTGTTCCCACATGGCCTTTCCTCTGTGCATGCACAGAGAGGAAGAGAGAAAGAGAGAGAGATCTCAGGTCTCTCCTTATAAGGACTCTAATCCTACTGGATCAGGACTTCACCCTATGACCTCGCGTAACCTGAATTTCTTCCTCAGAGGCCTGATGTCCACATACAGCCACGTCAGAGCTTGAACGTCTGCTTTGGGGAGGGACACAAATATTCAGTCCATATCAGGAGTAAACTCCCAGTTGGATTGCCAGGAAGAACTCCTCTAACTCTATCTAAACACTGGCCGGCACTGACCCCAGATCAGGCTGCCTCTGCCATAATCAAGACACTTCTTCCACCAGCAGCCTAGGAACCCCATCTCTGCTGACGCCGTATCAACACAGAGATCCCTGCACCTCACCTTTTTTTGCGACTCGCATGCATCCATCTTCCAAGTAAGCTTCCTGGACTCTAGCAGCACAGAAGACTGGAATGGTTTTTAAGACTATGTTGAGATTCATAATCTGGGAAATTATCAAGACGTGGAGACAACCTCCAAATATTGGGTCATTGGAAAAGTCGTGATGTATTTTTGGAAAGAAAAACATAGATACGTCATGACTTTTTTGACGACTCAATATTTTGATCCTGGATGCCTACAACCCCAGGCAGATACACCCGTTAGTTTCAACAGAACAAGGAGAACACACAGAAAAGTTAGACTTTTCTGGAGAAGGCAATCTTTGTTCATTGAGTGAATTAGGCTAGGCCAGATTTTAAGTTTCCATCTTAATATAAAGGCATTAACACAAACAACAAATTAAAGATCATTTTCTGACTTCTATTCAATAGCTGCTTCATCTGAAAAGAAGACATGTTTCCAAGTGGTCTCAGAGTCAGTACATTCTATAATCTTTTTTTCTTTTCCTCACTTAGAACCAACATCTGGATGTAGCTGTTTGCTTTTAACAATTTCTAAAAAGGCAGGTCTTTCTTATACTTGCTTATTATATTTTTGTTCCTTGGCTTGAAAATGAAGCCAGGAGGCCAGCTGGTGTTGTGGTGGTTAAGGCACTGGACTCCCACATGGTCGACGACAGTTTGAGTCCTGGACCTAGAGGCTTGCTTTCTCTATCTCTTTCTCTTGTGAGATCACATGTCCTATAGCAAGTTTTTAAAAATAACAATAATAAATAAAATTTTTAAAATAACTCTTTAAAGAAAGAAAAAGAAGTTAAAGAATGAACATTTGAGCACATTAAATTTATTTGAAAACATTCAGGGTTTATGATGTCTTGCCAAATGTATAAGTACAATTGTTCTTAGGTCACTGTTCATGTGAATACCCTCTAATCAAGTTTTCTAACTTCCACAGCAAAGTATTAAATGCCTCTAGCCTTTGTACCAGAACATCCTATTCACTGACAGTTTGGTTATTAGGAATGCATGCTGTGTGTTTTTCTCACTCTCACATGACAGCTAGGTTTCTATACTCAAGGATGACTACAAACATGTTATGAAGACATCCATCTTCCTTTCAAGTAGAACGACCTTGAGCTTGTCATGCATACTCCGGGCTATCAGTTTCTTCATCTCTAAAATAAAGGGCTTAGTTGTCTCCAGCCCTGCAATTTCAAGCCTCTCATTTAGCACTTCATGGTGCTGGGATCTTTGAAAAGTTTTAAAAATTGAACATTCTAAGGAGACTTGATTTCTAGAGAAGTGTTCCTTGCTATTGTATAATGTCAGAAAACATGCAATCAACTTGTCTTATTTGAGAAGCATCAAGAAAACCAAATGTATTTTGGTTTTCATAGTGCCTCAAATATAATATTATATGATATTAGGTGACAAAGATAGTAAATACCATTATCATTTGCCTGATAAATAACACTTTGAAATTTTTGACCTTTTCACTTTTTTAAAAAATTATTATTTAATACACTAGTCCCTTTAAATGGTATGAATATAAAAACTGAGCAATAAAAATGCATTCACTGTGGTGATTCCTATGTATTTGACAAAATATCCCAAATCCTTTAAACGTAATAAAAAACTGCTAACTGAGATCATGATGAAGATGCTAGCTATTAAGTAACTTCCCAGGGTCAGCGAGGGAGTGGCAGAGGAGAGGTATAGGCCCAGATCTGTCGGGTTCACCGCCGACCCTCAGCCTCTCTGCTACACTTTGTCTCTAAGCATTCAGTTAGTGGAACTTACTCAGATAGAAGGGAACTGACTACATGGCTCTGCTAAATGCATGGGTAAGAGGGAATACTGGGACAGGGACCAGCAGTTAGTGTAATGGCTATGTCTCTGGACTCCCATGTAGTCGATCGCGGTTCGCATTCCAGACCCGGTGGCTTAAACTCAATGCTGGCGCGTGTGCATGCATGCCCAACATCCTGAGAGGAGAATGGAGGAGAAGGGATTGTGGTGTGGCCATCTACCCTGGGGGGTGATTTCTCACTTTCTGTCTCTCTGTCTCTCTCTGTCTGTCTGGCGAGCACATGCACCCTATAGCAAAAACCTCTTAAAAAGAAAAAGAGGGAATACTGGGACAAGCATTGCATCCTCCTTGGAAAGACGTCCCCTATGCTCCCACCACCCACTGGCCCACTTTCATCACCCTACTCATCTTGCTGTGTTCTTTGCTTTCATAGCCTCTCTGCTAGCTACATCTTTAATTTGTACATCTTCAGCACAAAATATTGGACTTGGCAAATACTTAATACAAATTCGTTGGGTGGAAATATTGATAAATGAACAAATCTTAAGTACAAGAACTTTTAGAGTGGTTTACACTCATCTTTAACATAAATTTGCTTGGGCTATGTTGCTGGACTCCCATGTAGTTGACTGCGGTTCAAGTACCAGACCTGGTGGCTTAAACTCACACCGGGCGCGTGTGCATGCATGTTCAAGATCCCGAGAGGAGAACGAAGGAGATGGGATTGCGGCATGGCCATTTCCCTGGGGGGTGATTTCTTGCTTTCTGTCTCTCTGTCTCTCTCTGTCTTTCTGGCAAGCACACGCACCCTACAGCAAAAACTTCTCATCCCCCCCCCAAAAAATATATATAAATAAATTTCCTTAACATGGATAGCATTTCATTTTTTTTTTTTTTTTTTTTGGAGAGGTTTTCAC